GGTAACGACGCTTGAGGCGAGAAGAACCGCGTCGGAACAACGATGTAATAGTGTTACTACCGTTGCGGTGACCGCTGGTCTCGGATGGCCGACGATCAGAGATATCAGAGGTAGATCCAATACCAAAGTTTTGCGAATGGCTACTGTTGACACCATGGCGCATGGAGGAGTGGGAAGGCGAGAGTGTGGTTCGGGACATGCCCATCTCGTGCGAAGGAGCAAAGCTGGGCCGGGGGACCAGCTTCGGCTCACGAGTGGAGCGTTCCTCGACAGGTCGAGTGACGTGAGCGCTTTCGAGGGATTCGCGTCGGGATTCTCGTCGAGATTCGCTTGCTTCGACAGCGTCGATACCCTTGGGTTCACCATGCAATCCAGAGTCGGTTTGCTCTTCAGGAGATGTACCAGCGGTTTCCTCGGGTATAGTCTCCACGACATGCTCCTTGTATACTTCCTCTGGGGTTTCGACTGGTGGCTCCTCGACTTGTGGTTGAGGCTCCTGTGTTTCGATGGGTTGTGGTTGGGATTGTTCTTGGGCTTCCACCTGTTCCTTCTCGCGCTCGGTCTCTTGAGCATCCGCTCGTTCTTGTAGCTTACGGCGCAGCTTCTCTGTGTCGTCGATCTGCTTCTTCTCGCGACGACGGCGATCACGATCGAGTAACTCGCGTAATGTGCTTGCGTCGAGCGAATCAGCCAACTCGTTGACCCGCCGTCTGGAGTAGTAGAGGTCCTCCTGCGACATGTTCATCGCTTGCATTTTATTCTTATCTTGTCGACCTGGGCCGGTGGGTTCGGTGTTGCTTCTCACCGTCGTCGGTCGGGGGGCCTCAACATATCGCACAACGGGACGAGGGGTCAACGCAGCGAACGCGTTGACCTTGTAAGTATAAGGGTCGGAGGCGTCTGACATGGAAGATGCGGCTGAATCACGGATCGAAAGGCTGATATCTGACAGGTAGCGGTCGGCGCGTCGGCCATTCGCTCTGCGGCGCCGGTGTTCCAACACATAGTCACCACCGGCCACGCCAGCGGAGCGACGCGGGATATCGATGGGGGTGGAGGATAACATTTTGATTTCTCGTTCTCGGATGGCCTCATCGGTCCTGCGCTTACTCTTGCGCAACTTGTTGGGTCCGGTATGTCCATTTTGGGGGTTCTTCTTCAGCAACGAACCGGTTCGGGAGAGTGGTCGGTGAGGACCATCGGGTCGGGCACGATCCTCTGGTTCGGCGGTACGCTGGTCCAGGAACGAGATGGGGCGAGTCACGGATAAACGTGCAGAACCGCGAAGACTTCTCGGAGCCATCGCCGTTGCGCGAGAGACGGTGAGCTTGACGGATCGATCGGCGGCGGGACGGTTTGCGGGCCAACGTGGGCTCGGCGGGAGGTTCTTCACGTTCCAAGGATGTCTGCAGGACATCTGCTTCCTCAGCGCTCACTTGAATAGTGTGGCGCTTGTTTTTACGGCCAAAGGGCCATATCGCCATGACGGTTTGGGGTGGGGGATAAACCCCGAAACGAGTCAGTGGCCAGGGTTGTAGTTGTGGTTGTGGTTATTATTGTCGCACTGGTAGTCGCAGTCGCCGTCACAGTCGCAGTCGCAGTTGTCTGGAGAAAAGGCGAGTGAGTAGCTAACGGGACTTCATTGAGTGGAGGAAAAGAGGCGAAGTCGAGTCTTGGGCTGGGCCACCGGCGTCATATGTGGGATAAAGTTTTGATTTGGGGGAGGAAAGAGGAGCAAGCCAAAGTCAAACACCGTAACGGAAATCCAAAATGAAAATGAAACTGAAAGTGAAAATACAGAAGAAGTGGGAAGGAAAAGGATACCCAACAGGGTAGAGCGATCGTGTGGGCCACAGGGCCAAAGGGGGCGAACGAATAGAGGAAGAAGAAGGGGAGGGAGAGAGAAGAGAGAAGAGAGAAGAGAAGAGAGGGAGAAGAGGAGAGGGGGAAGAAGAAAAGAGGAAGCAAGGACAGGATGAGTTACGCTCTGTAGAGAGAGTACAGTTCAATTTCAATATGTCCATCGATTCAGGCCCAGATTGTTTGGGCGTTTTGATTTTCCCTAAAAATAAACCCACTTTACATTCCTCTTTCTCACTTTCTCTTTCTGCCTACGAGTTATTCATACACTACTATTGCAATACTCCCCTCTCCCTGTTCTCCCCATTCCCCCATTCCTCCCACCTCTGGTCACACAGTCCCTGGGGGAAAAGAAAGAAAAAAAAGTCTACTTCCCCCATGCACGATGCATACCACTTTTTCAGCGGTCGATATTGGTATTCGTACTCTCTGTTCAGCTCCGTCGCACGAGTCCCTCAGGGGAGATCGGCATCAACATCGTCATTGGAAATTGCTGTCTCCATTTGTGGGGGATATCCACTTTTACCACGACACAGAAATATATGAACAAAAGCAGAGAAGAAGGGAAAAAAATACAAAAATACAAAAATACAAAAACACAATCATCAGATCAGATCATCACTACTCTGCAGATTACCTATGGTAAGGATGCATATACATCCACTACATTGATCGCGATCTGTGTTCGTCCTCGGATCCCTCCGACTATCCCTTCCTCTTTCCCCTTCAACTTTCTCCCTTTCCCTCACACCCACCACCACCACCCCAAGATTGGTGGCAGTGCCCCATCACCCATCGGAACCGCGGCAAAGAGTCAATAGGCCAAAGGATCTCGTGCACTGCGCGCGTGCCTCTCCAGTTGTAAGGCCAAGACCACCGTTGGACGCCCGGTGGGCCCCTCCCTCATCCGCCGTCGGTCCAGAAGCCTGCATTCCTTGGGTTGACACGCGGGAATGGAGACGATCTTACGCACTCGCCGTCCCCATGACTGGCCCAGAGTGCGCTTGAGTTGATGTTCCTGACTCCATTCCACGGATCCATCCCGTCCTTCTTTTTTTTTCTCCGAAATGTTTACATCTTTCCTTCCCCGATCTCTATTGCCCAAGCGAAAGATTCGTCTGAGTGGATCTGATCAGCGAAGGAATGGCCGATTTGGTCGGGACTACGGTCGGGCTAAGGACGATGGTGAGTTCTTCGTTGCACTGGGGCCGCCCTGCAGGATTGATGTGACGACATTAAACGGTGCTGTCCCCGTCGGTCGCGATATCCAACATTCAACAATTAATATCTGGAGAAATTCGACTATCACCTGTAGAGAGCCTTCGGTTAGAGGAGCCCTGTCTTGGCAAATGAGTGGCGGTGTTTGTGTCGGACGAGTTGAATTGCCTCGCCACGAAAATATTATTATTATTATTCTAGGTATTATTATAATCATAATATATTGGAGCCCAATCATTGGGCTAACGGCTTGCCGTCTCCAATCGCCGAGCTTTGCTTGGGCAATTGGGAATCAAACCGTTAAACTGGAGCCATCTGCCCGTCACATCCCAATGGATTAAGATTAATTTGCGACTAGCTCGGAATGGTGGCTCTTGGATTCCATTCTAATTTACTTTACTCTCCATATACTCCGTACCTACTCCGTACTCCGTACTAGTACCTGTCCTGCTCTTCCTGACTTTGATCCATTATTCTTAACCAGCTAGCGCCGATATTCTTGTTGCTTAGATCGTTTGGCAGCACCTGATCATCAACAAATTGGAGTCGATCATGAAAGTCCAAAGGGTCCAGACCCTGCCGCGGCCTCCCTCCACTGTCCTGCATCTCGTCCGAGATAGGAATTACCCCGAGCCATCCAGTCCCCCGCCTTACACTGAGACACCAGACATTCAAATGAGGAATGGGCCCGACGGAGAGGAAGAGACCCGTTGTAACTACTCTACCGCGTACATATAATCTATCATACACAAACCCCTCACAACTTAAACTCTGGCTTGGATCATTCAAGTTCGATACAGACAAACACACCCCTGCAACCTTGGAAGGGCACCGAAAGACATGAGTGCCGGCAGTCAAAAACCCGGGCCTGAACCCCTGCGATCCCCTGTCAATGGCGTCGATAGCGGCGGAGAGACACCGACCTTGCACCCCATTGAGCGGAGTCTAGCCCCGAGCCTGTGCAGGCGTAGAAGCCGAACGCGCCTTACTTTCTATCCGACGCACTGGTAGTTGGTCGAGTACGGCAGTTAAGTCCTTACCTGTCTATGTATCGATGTACATCCAAGCCATTTAAAGGTGGCGTTGGCCTTACTTCGACCAGTGGAGGACCGCCACGAAAAGACCATGTGGCAGCCAGGTCATCGGCTTCATTCTTCATTGTTGTCTTGCCACTAATTGTACAATCAACACGGAGGAGGAGAGTCGGTCACTGTCTCAAAGTAAGACCAACGGATCAAAAAGTAACCGATGTCTCTGCACTGGCAGTTGTCTCCGGCTAAAGGTAAAACAAACTACATACGAGTCCTCCGTTGGTCAAGTAGCCAGGCCAAGCCCCGAGACTGGGCGACGTGAATATTCAAATCCAATCCAATCCCCCCCAATCCAAGGCCCCTCTCTATGTAAAACGCCAGATAAAAATACCATGCAGTCTCGGTGTCCGCAGAGCCGAATTCCGACCGAAAAAGAGAGAGAGAGAGAGAGAAAGAGAGAGAAAAAAAAGCAAACCGATTCACAATCAAAATCAAAGTCATAACCCGGAAGCAAATCCAAATCCAAACCCAAACCCAAACGGAACCAGACCCGGCCGGGGAAAAAAAGAACAAAAAGACCCTAAGGAAAGAAGAACAAATCTGCTGGCTCTGCAAGACAAATCGGGAACCCACATCCCAATCTCTCTCAGCCATGTGCAAACCACCACCCTACCATACCCTAGGCTAGATGCATTGCTGCCCCACCAGATCCCTCTGGACTGGATACAATAGTCGGCATTAGTTAGTTATTCCATGCCATCAATGTACTCGTATGTATGTGCAGTACATAGCCAAGATCTGATACCCTCGATACTACTCCCAACTCATGAACTGAGTTTCATTTCATTTCGATTCTTCCCTTCACCAACTCCCACTTCCTCTCCATCCACCTCACTGACTGACACGTTTTCGCAGCCGATTTGGCTCACGCTCCAGGACCCGATACCGGCGACTACTGCGTCGACTGAGAAATCGCCGGATTGACCACGAGCCGGGGGTCTGGCGGGTGTCGGCGGGTGGGGAGCCGGCGCTATCGAGCGGTGTGTAGGGAGTGTTGGTGTTGTTGGACTCGGATTCGGATTGGAGGTTTGTTAATGGTTGGGCATCCATTTCCGGTTTTCGTAGCGATGGTGTGTACGAGTAGGGTATATGTGATGCGATGTGATGTGTCGGTCAGGCAAAGTTCTGTTCTGTTCTGTTCTGTACTTTACTCCGTAGCGTAGTGGGTGTACTCGTACTTGATCTGGCCCTGTGACCCGCCGAGTTGGAGAAGGACTGGAGTTGTTCGAATTGATGTGGCGAGAGTGAGGGGTGGGAGGGAAAGCTGGGATTTTTTCGGATCCTTGCGGGATTAATCGAGGTTGGATCTGGTTTCAAGGCTCTTCTGCTGCTCTTTCTTTGATGGGTGTTCTTGTCAGAGATGCTGGTTCAGGAACTGGGGAGCGGGGTTGTTGCTGTGGGGCGGGCATGACCATGTTGAATTGTGATCGTTGGGGCCGTCCTGGGGTTCATGTTGTTTTATCTGATTCTACTATTACTGCTATTTCTTGGATGGGAGGGTCAGGCGGTGCTTCTGACCATCTGCCATATCTCTTTTCTATATGCAGGCTACTTGGGGATCTTCTGGCATCTCCTGGTCATTCACTACACTGCATTCAAGCAATACGAGGTCTTCCAAGATGCCTACGCGGCGATCAGATCGATGTTGGGACAGTGTATCACTGTTTCGTCATTTCGAGGCTCGCGGGTTACCAGATACTTAAAATGCCTAGCTAGAATGTACATTTGTCCTCTGGGTCGGGGTCGCAACCATATATGTCATTTCGATCGTAATAAAGCTGACGGTAACACTGCCGCCTCGGGAAGCGATCGGTTTCCATGGCCCAACCTGAGCTATAGTCCCCCCCGCCGCCCTGAGCTGCTCCCTGAGCACAGGGGTTCTACTTGGAACAGTTGTTCTAAGTCAACGTATCATCTACTCCCTCTGATTCTCACATTATCATGTATACACTTACCCTTCTCATTCCTGTCCAAATGACACTAAAGTAGTACTTACCCATTTCTCACCCCAGCCGCACCCACCCAACTACTGACTGTGTTTAAGCCATGCCGGTCAGCTAGTAACTTTTTAGGGAGGGGGGGCTTTTTCTTTCTTTCCATTAATGTTGACACTAAGAGAACACCCAGCATGGCCTACCAGGTACGGCTACAAAAGGTTTGGGTGCCCGCTCAGCGTGGACCTCGAGAACTCCTTCACCAGTTGACAGCGGTCATTGCGGTTGGTCAATCGATATTCCAAGGTTCTCAGTAAGACGCAACACTATTCCTGAATACAATCTCAGTTTTCGATTGCTGGGAATGAAGCCAAATTTAACGAACGATGGGTAAGCAAGTATTGAATTGCCCAACATATATTTCTTAAATTGGTGGATCTTGCCATTCTGCAGCAACACTATTTAGGGTATCAAAAATATACCTCCATTCAGTAGAGGGTGCGTTGGTCCATAAACATGCCTACAGAGGCCCGTATTTGAACCGCGATGATGAATTTATTCAAAAACTACTCGACAAAGCCTGTGTGCGGAGCTCAGGTACTCACAGAGATCAGTACACGGCGCAGCGCAGCAAGCAAAGGAAGAAGTAGCGTTCGACGAAAGTAATAGCTTGAGGAGAATCAGAAGAAAGCTAAGATGGAAGGTTAGTTACACAGGCGTAGGCGTGGATGCCTAGAGCGGTGCCGTAGGCGTGAGGCATCCACGAATAACTAGTAACAACACCAGTTCGTAATACCCTGCATAAATATTATCCTTATTTGAAACTTATACACAAAGGTCCCTGGGACCTAGCAGATACAGAGCACTTTTTGTTCAAAGTCAAGTAGATGGTTGAAAGACATCATCGAATAAAAATACCTCAATAATGGCTTTACTGACTTCGATAAGTCGACTCAATAGCTTTCAATTTCCCAACGACTTGCAGTAACCGAGGGTCCAATTAATAATGCAGAAATTTAATACGGGGACGGTTAGTGGGGATTTAAGTGATAGTTATACTTGCCTACCCTAGGCGTGTATTTGTACTATGTGCTGGAGTTTTCCTGAGAGGTGGTATTAAATTCAGTTACTCATCTGCAATCAGTTACTCATCTGCAATCAGTTACTCATCTGCAATCAGTTACTCATCTGCAATAAGCTATCGCAATACTAATATACTGGACAAATAATTACTTCATGGAAACCAGACACGCAGGATATCGCGCCTTCTATTTCTAATAGCTCCTTCTATGCCTACGTTGTTCGCCCTCTTTGTTTGTTGACACCACCATTTTCATACTCTTCATCCCCCCACCCCTAGCACAACGGAGCATGACTTACATAGCACTGTTCCTCTTTTGATCTCGATGAGCAGCTTGTTCCAAGGAAAATGCGATTACGACTCTCATTGTAATTGTTGTTACAAATATTGATGAAGACGGGTGTGAAATGAGCACCGGCCGAATGAATAACAGAAGGTTAATGCCAGGTTCATCGTCGTTCTCGACCTTCCAACCAATTCTGCGAATCTCCTGAAGATATTGTCGACTTAACCGCCATTCCTCGTATAAAATTCTATTCTTTATGATCATAAATCTAGTTTCACCTGGCCACCTGCTCGCTCTCTCTGTCGTAATAATTTACATTCCTCCTCAAGCTCTGAGCAGTCACACTGTTCTTGTCGCCTTCTTGCATACAAGGCTGCGCCCCGAGCAGCTACAAAAGTAAGATCCATAGCTTTTTTTTTCCATAGGCAGATTTCGCTATTTTAGGTTCGATATAAAGTTCTGACAGCCCGGCCAAGGCGTCTTTCAAATAAGCCAGAAAAAGAGGGTTTGTTGTGCTCTTGCCAGCTAGAAGAAAATCAGTAATTCGAACAACAGAGCAACACTTATAATCTGCTTACGGAGACGAGCCTATAATAAGTCTGGATCATCTGCTTCAAGAATTTGATCTAGCCCTCGTCCGAAGTTAAGAGCTTTTATCTCATCGTATGCAAAGGGCAAAAAGGCTTGACCACCATCAGGTATAGTAATACTGATGTATAACAGATGGCGGGTAAAAGAAATGAAAAGAATTGTCGGAGGACTAGCCCTAGCCCATTCATATGAGAACTTATCTGTACACTGCTATAGATCATGATAGTATTTGCATAGTCTATAGCCGTTAGCAGCATAAACAGCATCTGCCTCTACCAGACGTTTGGGATAATATGAACAATCACCCGTCTAGGTCTGTAAATCTAGCTCTTGAAGAGCAGTATTGGTTATTTCTGGACTCAAGGTTTCTATATTGAGAGTTGTAATGGCAACCCTATTCAGATCTTAGCGTATCTGCTTCTCTGTGGCAAGCTTAAGATTCTAGAGTATTTCGCTGATAATTTTGATGTTGTCTACTTCCACTGGTTGCTCGAGCTTTTCGTTTAACCAACGCTATCCAGCCCACGCTGGAAAGGGGATATTAAAGAAAGAGTCCAAAAGAGAGAATAGCTTAAAGTATAAATTTTAGAAAATTCTACCTTAATCTTTAATTAATACAGGCTTACCTCCTTTCGTAAGGCGTATTATCACCTTAAGATACTCAGGTTTACTATAGATCTGGATAACTTCAACAACAGTTCTATTATTATATTGTATAGCGGAAGTTCTGTTAAAAATAAGGATCAGTTTAGGCTCTAATTCATCAGATCACCAAAATAGCCACACACTCACCCTTATAAAGGAGTTAGATCGAACCCGACTCCCGGGGCATCATAAATATCGGCCGGAAGGCATATTTCACACTAGGGACGGTGACAGCTATAGAAGGCATAAGCAACTGTTGAAAAGGCAACAAGAGTAAAGATCCAAGTTAAATCCATCTAGAAGAGTCAAGACAGGGTCGGTACGCATACTCGCAAGATGCAAGTTCTGGGTGACCCCCCTTGTGAGGGCCTACTGGGGGTATTTCTGATTATGTGACACGGACGAACTGTGTTGTCCGAGACTCCTGAGTTTCGTAGAGTGCTACGGGGCGTATTCAGTATTTAGGCAACATTCGTAGCCCCCGGAAGATGCCAGTATTCCCAGGCGACAGTATTGAAAGTGTAGTGATCTATTATAGTCAACAAACATTGATCAATATGGCCAAGCGTACTACAGTCATTCTCGCAATCGGCTTGACCGATACACACTCAATCTCTCTCTTCTTGCCCCACTGCCAAGACCTTAGCGCAGATGATGTATTGGGCTCCTCGATAACACGACTCTTTCGGCCATGCTTGTTTCTTTCCCCACTTTTGATGTTGACTGGCCGACGAGAAGGAAGCCGCCACATCTTAGCTATTCGAAAGATAGAATGAGCAACTGTCAGATTTTGGCGCCTAGGTCACCTGATAGCGGGGCTAACGATAGCCTTCTAAGGGTTGAGACCTTTTAGCTACCCAAAAACCCAAGCATTCCATGCATCGGGTGTTAAATATGACTTGCATATCATTTGGTAAAACAAATTCTGGCCTCCAGGCTGGTATTATCAATGGCACGGTTAATACACAGTTCTATCTGCCCACAGGTAGGTTTCACAAGGGCCTGGAAATGCGACCAAGTTGACAAATCGCTGCTTCTTGACCCAGAGCGACCGGAAACCCCACCAACTCCTCTATCGACCGTCCCGTTCGGTCGCGACCCAGACTTTGTCAGCCGCGACACACTGCTTGATCAGATACATAAAAAGATATCAGTCCCAGGGTCCAGGATAGCTCTTGTAGGCATCGGTGGTGTCGGGTCAGTGCAAAGAACTTGGGCGGGTAGATCAGTGCTGACAATCGGCAGGAAATCGCAACTTGCTATCGAATACTGTTATCGACTTCGAGATCAATCGCCCAATACATGGGTTTTCTGGGTCCATGCAAGTAACGCGGCCCGGTTCGAGCAAAGTTTCCGCGATATCGCCGAGCAGGCCAAAATTCCCGGGCGTCAGGATCCCACAGCCAATATATTCCAGCTCGTCGAAAGCTGGCTCCAGGATAGGAAGAGAGTAAAGTGGTTACTGATTCTTGATAATGTTGATGATGATGGGTTTCTTCACCAGCCATCAACGATAGGCCAGCAGGGCCTGCAGATCGGCCAAACTAATACCCCGACAAAGCCTTTATTGGAGTATATTCCCCGAAGCCCGAGCGGATCTATAATCATCACAAGTCGGAATAAAGAGGTAGCGTCAAAGATTGTCCACAACGAGGACGTTCTTGAAATAGAACCAATGGATAGGTCCGAGGCGCTAAAACTTCTCCAACAAAAGCTTGGACGGCTAGCGGAAACTCCTGATGTTCTAACGTTAATCGAAGAGCTCGAGTTTATGCCACTAGCGATTGTGCAAGCAGCCGGCTATATCGTGCATCGAGCACCCCGCTGTACAGTATCGCAGTATCTCGAGAAGTTTCGAAAGAATGATCACGAAGCGACCAAGCTTCTTCATTATGAGGCGGGTTATCTTTATCGAGATTGGGAAGCGAAGAATTCGATTCTAGTCACATGGCAAATATCCTTCGACTATATTCGACGGATACGACCTTCTGCTACTGATTTACTCTCCCTCATGAGCTTTTTCGACCGACAGGGAGTTTCAGAGGACCTTCTCCAAAACTCGCACGAGATTACGTTTGATCGCCACGACGAGGATACGGACAGCACATCAGAATCTAACACGGATGATGAGTTTGATGATGATGTTACAACATTGAGAGACTTTTCATTTATTTCCGTTAGCGAGAACATAAAAGTGTTCACGATGCACCGGCTAGTGCAACTTACTGTGCGTGTATGGCTGAAAACCAATGGACAAATAGAGCGATGGAAGGAGGAATTCATCGCGAGCCTATACCAAAGGTTTCCGACCGGTGAATATGAAACTGGGCACGGTGCCGGTCGTTATTCCCACATATGAAATCAGTGGTGTCACAACGACCAGGATCACACGACTCTCTACAAAAATGGGCCACGCTACTCTACAAAGGCGCATGGTATGCTCAGGAAAGCGGCAACATTGCGGAATCAAAGGATATGGCATCTATATCAAGGAGGGAGCGAGAGTTAATATTTGGCTTAGAGGGTGAACAGACCCTTGAGAGCACTACGATGTTGGCGGGCATATACCGACTTGAGGGCCGATGGGAGGAGGCCGAGCAGCTCTTCGTGTAGGTCATGGAAACAAGTAAGACGAAGCTCGGTGCGGACCATCTCTCTACGCTGTCGAGTATGAACAACCTGGCGTTGACCTATAGGGACCAGGGCCGATCGGAGGAGGCGGAGCAGCTCTTTATATAGGTTATGGAGACAAGCAAGACGAAGCTCGGTGCAGATCATACGGACACACTGTCAAGCATGAACAATCTAGCGTTAACCTATAGGGACCAGGGCCAATGGGAAAAGGCAGAGCAGCTCTTTGTGCAGGTCATGGAGGCTCGTAAGATAAAGCTTGGCATGGACTATCCTGACACGCTGTCGAGCATGAATAATCTGGCGTTGAGCTATAAGGACCAGGGCCAATGGGAAAAGGCAGAGCAGCTCTTTGTGCAAGTTATAGAGACTCGCAAGACGAAGCTCGGCGCAGACCATTATAACACGCTAACGAGCATGAACAACCTGGCATTAACGTTGTGGAACCAGGGCCGATGGGATAAGGCGGAGCAGCTCATTTTGCAGGTTATGGAGACTCGTAAAACGAAGCTCGGTGCAGACCATCCCTCTACGCTGTCCAGCATAAACAACCTGGCGTTAATCTATAGGGACCAGGGCCGATGGGAGGAGGCGGAGCAGCTATTTGTGCGGGTCATGGAGAGGAGCAAGACGAAGCTCGGTACGGACCATCCTGACACACTGTCGAGCATGAACAACCTAGCATCGACGTTCTGGAACCAGGGCCGGTGGGAGGAGGCGGAGCAGCTCTTCGTGCAGGTCATGGAGACTCGCAAGACGAAGCTCGGCGCGGACCATCCTGACACGCTATCGAGTATGGCCAACCTGGCATCGACGTATAAGGGCCAGGGCCGATGGGAGGAGGCGGAGCAGCTCTTTGTGCAAGTCATGGAGACTCGCAAGACGAAGCTCGGCGCGGACCATCCTGACACGCTGTCGAGCATGAACAACCTTGCTCATACCCTTATGTCGTCGGGTCAATACAAAGCCGCTTTGCAGTTGATGGCCGATTGCGTTCAGCTTCGCGACCGAAAACTAGGCCCTCACCATCCGTATACTATTTCTTCCAAGTCTGCCCTAGAAGAATGGCGCGGCAAAGTTGACTCCCCATCTTCCCAACTCACTGAGCCTCCGACGGACACCAAAGAGGCCTCAATCCTGGGCAGTTCCACAGAAACCTCCGAGTGAGTTCTAGACCTGGTGGACATCCTAAGCGGACAATATTCTTTCGCCTCTTTGGCAGAAAGTAGGACTCTCCCTTTTCAATTTCTCTGGAGTGTAGCTTTGCTTGGTGATAGTTGAAAAGAGATCCATCAAATTAACAAATTCTACAATCACGATGAACGGCTCGGTTGTAACATCAACAGCTTGAACCTTGGAAGTTTCCAAACTGTTTCGACTATATCCATGAGGCCTTGGCGGTGGGACTAGAAAAGAGTTAACTAACTATGGAGAGTGTATTAGTCAAGGCGATTTTGAGAATGACTGTACGGTGGAGTCCGACGGTCAACCAAGATCGACAATGCTTTAAAAGTCCCCTCTCGCACTTACTAGTCCAGCTGGTTTCAAATTGATAGTTTCGTAAACTCTAGTTGACCAGGGCTTGATCCCCTTCCCCCACTTCATCCTACTTTGGGCAACTGACCACAAGGACAAGCCACGATCGCCATGGCGATCCATGGCCCCTATGAGATCACGAGCCCGCCCCAAAGGCTTCAACTCTGTTAAGCCCTATCCCCAAAAGAATCGGTCAGGCCATAAGACCCTTCACCGTCGCTAGTGGACCCACCAACCGCGTTGAAGAACTTGGGGCGGCCAGGAACCCCGCATCGCTCTAGTTGCTTCGCTTGGGCTCGGGACACGCTTAATGGCCGGATGTTCAATGGAAGACCGCCTCGTATTGGATGGAAAAGCTCGGATGAGACCCTGTCAGGCCTTCTTCATATGCTCGGTCTGGTTGGGCTTAAAACCCTAAGTGGTTGCTCATTGCTCATGGAGGGGTGGTCGAAGATTATTCCACGTCCACTTCGTCTTTAATCCTCCGTCGAGAAGTCTCTAGTACGACTGCGACTCTGACAAGCTGGGATTGTCCTACCTTCTACCAAAGAGATTTTGAATAAAGTATTTTACTCTTAGCCCAGCGGAATATCGGTGAACAGTTCTCTCTGTGGGCCGTTCAATATCTTCCGTGTTGTCAACCTGCTCCGTACCAGATCACGACCACGATCACGACCTCACCGACTTTTTTTCCTTCTCGAAACATTTGTGTGCCCAGTTGCCTTCATCATGGCACCACTTTGGATCTTCGTAGCTCTCGGATACCTACTTCTCTACGCTTTTGCTGCGATGCAAACGCAAGAGCTGTACGCTGTTGTCTCGAATCGGATAACGACCTGATGATGCTAGACCGTGTCTCGGACTGGTCGGTCCAATCAAGACTATACTTCATCAGACTGGAAACGAGCTTTATCCACTCATTCATGGATTATCACAACCGATGAGAGATGTCGAGAAACTCATCATTCATCCTCATTATCTATCCGCTCAACTCTTTCCCCGCAACACCCTGCCCTTGCCATGACTACCCCCTCATGATTACGACCTTTTGTGATTTCAACAATACCCAGATGGAAAAATTGCTGCTCGAGCGGAATGTTCTACCATGCACCTTATATAAGATTATGCGGCCGAGGCGGCTTATGAAGTTGTCTGGTACGACGACACACGTTTGATGATTAATGATTACGATGCCATGACTTTGGGAAAGATGATTATAAGCCAGAATTGCTTGTCTAGTTAGTTATAGCATACTTGCTAATCATCAATTTCTAAAAAAGGATCTTGCCCTCAGGCTTCTCTCCCCCTCATTCAAGTCGTAAATTGTAGATATTTTCAACTGATATGAAGACCGTTGAAAATTCAAGTCTTTGAATAATCAAATCTTAAATTTGAGTACTAGTAGATCCGCATAGCTAGCGAATGAAAATAAAAACTTCCGAAGTCATTCAAAATCATGTCATCTATTTCGTAAAGTCTTTTAACTTCAATGATACAAAAAGCGTCAGCGCCAGGCTTCTCAACAAAACTAAGCTCCCATAAAGCCGCAACCCAATGCCCGTGTACTTTTCTAGAACCAAATCTTAATCAGTTCCTCACTGACTGCACTAGGTGTGAGAACACCGCTATCGGTAATCAGAGCCGAAATGAGATGCGGAGGAGTGAAGTCCACTGAGTCACAAAGAGGCAACTCAATCGGGCGGTCGGCACTTGTATCGACCGGTTGCTCGCTTTGTTCGGTAATGTCTTCCTCGGACTTGAAGTCTATGACGTGTTGCTCGATGGGCAGGTCATATTGGCCAAGCGGGTAAAGACGAACGAACTTGTGGCTCTCGGCCACACAGTAGAACGGCTTTCCAATGGCCTTGGCCAGCAGACCGATTTGGTAGGTACCCATGCGGGATACAATACCTCCGTTCTCCACAACACCTTCAGCACCGACAATAACCATATCCGCCTTTCCAAGAGCATATGCCACTGCTGACTCCGGGATCGTCGACACCGGCACACCCTTCGCCCTCAGTGCGCGCACCGTTTCCATACCCTCCGGCTCGCCAGATGGCTCCTCGATGTTCATGCTGATGGACGACAGGACGTAGATGACTCGGAAACGGACCGCCGAAGGACCTCCCTCCTCGTCGGCTGCCTTCTGTAGCAGAGACGCGACAGCTCTGGATCCACCATTTGTGAGTACTGTGCAACCGTCACGAATGAATCCTCGTCCAAATGCAACAATCTTCTCTCGACTTTCCTTGGCACGTCTAATAAACAATCGCCCGTTCGACAGAAGATGTGTTCGGATAGCTTTGAAGTCCCCAGCGGGCCCCAGCTGCCCGGGTCTTTGTAATGTGGTAATCAGGTATCGCTGGAAGAGATCGGTTCCAGCCGACAGACCAATTGGGTTTGGGATTGCTTTTTTCAGGTGGGCGGTAGATTGGGCCAGTAGGTCAAGGGTTTCGGAGATTGTCGAGGAGGGCGAATGTGTGAGAAGCAGCACGAGAGCTTCAATAGCCGCGATGGGCATGGTAAGGTCGGGGTCGGAACGTAGGAGCTCATTGTACGTCGCAACGATGCTACAGGGAGGGTAAGTAGTGCGAAAAAGCTTCAGCAGGAAGATTAGACTTACTCAAACGGCTTTGCGCCGGCCGCGGGCGTGCTCTCAGTAGTTGTCGCCATGATGTTTGTACAAAGGAGCTCACGATGCGAAGGAAGAGTCATGATTTCTTTGAAGAGGTTTGTCGTGTTTGCACTCTGCCCCTCGGCGGTTGGGACTAACCCGATGTGGACGGGCGGGCGGATTGTTTACTTGGGACGAGAAAGCCCGCACATCATAACAACTCTCGGTCTTGAACCTCCCCAGCCCACCATTCCTGTCTGATCTTTTGAGCCAGGCTCAGACAGATCGTTTCATACGTCCGACACGATGGCGTACAACCATCGCATGAGCATGGCTGGTACCCAGCAGCCTCACAATCGGCGCAAGAAGGAAGATGATAATGACGCATTGATGCGCCTGGTCAGTTGCACCTTTTAGACCCGGGACCAGAAGACTTCGGGCCTCTGAAGAATATACCTCTAATACCATAGCAGCCCGACAAAGAAATCGCAGGATGTATCAACGACATCGGAATTCCCTTCAGTCCCTCGGATCTCGCCAAACCCAACCCCCAGCAGATCCAGATGGTCTTCGAATGGTTCGCAGAGCTCCTCATGAACACTACGCGCGAAACAGTCGAACCTGCTATGCATGTGGCAGCTGAAGATATCTGCGGCGATTATCCCGATATTGTTCCCAATGACACGCGAAACCTCATGGGTTTCTTTGTGAATGTCCGGAAGCTTCTGGCTGAGGTATGTAGCCCCTGGGCTCATCAGTGAGGGTTGAATGGTTGGTTAGCTAATTCTAACGACTTCCAGTGCGGTGTTAACGACTTTACTTTTACCGACCTGACCAAACCGACTCACGACCGACTAATCAAGATCTTCTCTTATCTCATCAACTTCGTCCGGTTCCGCGAATCCCAAGCCCCCGTCATCGATGAGCACTTCAACAAGACCGAGAAGACCAAATCAAGAATTGAGACTCTACACCTGGAAAATCAAGAAATGGAGCAGCGCCTAGCGGAGATGCGACGAGATCAACAAGCCAATGAGACGCAAGTGCGCGAAAAGGTGGCCCGAAATGACGAGCTGAAGGCTCGTCTCTTAGAGCTTCGTCGGGAGCAGACAAGAGTGGCAGACCATCTCGAAAGAGTCAAATCCGAGCGATCGCGCCGGCAGCAGCAACTAGAAGAGAAAACCGAGAAGACAGTTCGCACCCGACAAGAAGCCGAGAAACTTCGACCCTATGTCCTTGAATCTCCGGCGACATTACAATCTACGTTGACCGAGTTAGCGGAGAACTTGATGCGCGAGAAGGCACAGATTGATGCGATGGAAAAGCGAGCTAGGGCGCTCCAAACCTCCTCAGATACATTCACTGTGGTTTCGAATGATGTGCAAGCGTGTGTGAAATTGCTCGACGAAATTGCTACGGAATTGCAGAAGGAAGACGAGGAGGAATCACATGCCGCTCGGAATAAAGAGGCTATCTCGGACAGAGGCAACAGCGTACGAGAGGTAGAGCAGACCGAACATCTGCTTCAGCGGCAACTCGCTCGTTTGAACGATCGAATCGAGTCACTCCGCAGAAATGCGCAAGAAAAGGCTGAGGTTGCGCAGGCTCGCATGGAAGAGCTTCGCAACGTTCAAAAGCAGCTGCGTGAGGAGCGTGCGGAGAAGCAACGAGATATGGAAAGGAGGCGCATTCGTATTGAGCAGACAGAGAAGAAGGTACGACTTCTGTGTCCCCATTTTTGTGAGCAACTTTGCTAACTCATCCTCCAGATGGCTGATCTCAAGGAAAACATTGAGAGTGAAATCCAATCAGCCCATGACCAGTACCTCAAACTGGAGTCGCATATTAAACTCTATATCACAGAGATGGAGAAGTCGTTGTGAAAAACCAAGACTTGTAGCGTTTTTCTTTGGAACAGGAGTTCAGCGGTCGGCTCTAGGATACCCGGGCAGTGCATGTTCATTTTATGGAGTTGGATCATATTAGGATGCTTTTTGCACGAGTTTCATGTTCATCAATTCATTCATCTCATTTCTCCTATGTGTTATTCTGGTCAAATTCAAACCAGCGCTCGGCAACTTGTTTGATGGGCAAACCACGTCCGCCCCAGCCTCCGTCTTCACTGCGGATTCGTAGTGATCCATTCAATAGTGGAACTTGCGTATCCCATAGTCTTGAGCCCCAGTCGGAACTTGGAGGGTCTACCGCATTCATGCATTCACAGAGAACCAGGTCCATTCCTGCGCGGGATGCAGTCTCGACCGCAGTGGCAAGTGTTCTTGATAGCCCTTGGGCAGAGAACTCGGTCGTTGTCGCATGTAAAGCCACGAGATCTAGGATTGCAAGAACCTGCGGCTTCTCCAGACTTTCCTCTTCCTTGGTGGCACCATGTACTGAAGTAAAGACCGCAAGATATGCTCGAAGGCTCTCTAGCGAGGAACAAAACGCTAGTTGAATCTTGCTCGAGTTGGCCAGTAGTCCGATTGTCTTTGTAAGTAGATCATGACGGGTTTCAGCATTCGGGTCGGTAGATTGAGTTCGGATGGCCGCAGAGAGTTGAACGAGAAACTCGGTCCTGGTACCGCAGACAATGAGACGAGTGTTTTTGCAGGTCTTCAGCAATCGTTGAAGTAGATCTGTGACTAGGTCACAAAACGCGATGGTTGGTATTGAAACCATAATGTCATTGAAGAATCAGCTGTTCCGGGACTGCAGTTTAAATTGCATCATAGAGCTCGAAATCTGACTGTTCTGACATAAAATCATGATTCAGAATCGGCAGACATTGGGGCCTGGAGAAGAGTTGACGAATAAGTTTGGGAATAAGTTTGGAAATAAGTTTGGGACTCGGTCCAGCCAGCGCGGAAGATCGCCTCTCCCGCGGAGGTCACGCTCCTTCGCTCTCCCCCACCTATCTTCCACATCTCCCTCGGCCAATTCTCGCGCTCCTTGGACTGGGCCCCTCGGATGCTGGATTTAAGATGGAGACTATTTCAAGGATATCCTCGATGCTGGAAACAGGTAAGCCGATCTACCGGGGCCGCAAGCGCTTCTTCTTGGCACGGAAGCTGACCGTGTGACTTCACTGTGCGCATAGCTCGAGAGCTCACCCTAGAGGCTGCACAGTCCGCGGCAAGCAATCGAAGCTCGAAGACGGATTATTCCTCACGCACCTATAGCGTTCCTCATATCAAGAAGCTTCTGGATAGTCGCCATGAGAAGGAAACTCTGGATGGGCTGCGGAGGGTCATCTCGGTATGGTGATGTCGTAATGGCGAACCGCTATGAAGTGGAGAAATGTCCGCTAACAATATTGAATTTCTGTTCCAGTTGATGTACCGTTCCGAACCGTCTCTCGACTTCTTCTCGGCTGTCGTCAAGAATGCAGCCAGCGCCAACCTCGAGATCAAGAAATTGGTCTACATTTACCTGGTTCATCATGCGGAGGCCGAGCCGGATATGGCGCTGCTGTCTATCAACGCGATCCAGAAGTCCCTAACCGACCAAAATCCCCAAGTGCGAGTGATGGCTCTAAGGACCATGTCTGGAATTCGGGTGCCAGTCATCAGTCAGATTGTGTCATTGGCAATCAAGAGAGGGTGCGGTGATATGAGCCCACTTGTACGCAAGGCTGCTGCACTGGCTATTCCGAAATGCTACCGTCTAGATCCGAATACGCTGCCACAATTGACCGGGTATATCGCAACCCTCTTGGGGGATACACAATACTTCGTCGTGGGTCCGGCGGTTGCTGCGTTTCTAGAGGTTTGCCCGGAAGAGATTGATTTGGTTCATAAAAATTACCGCAGCCTCGTCAAGAAGCTCGTCGATATGGATGAATGGGGTCAACTAGCAACTCTTCGTCTGCTGACATTCTATGCACGCCAATGCTTTCCTCGTCGAACTCAAAGGGTAAAGGCGGCTGTGTCGAAGCCCTTTTATGATGACGAAACGGAGAACCAACCCGCTCAGAATGATGACGAGGGCCACGAGGTACCAGTAACTGACCCTGACCTTGAACTCCTTCTCCGGGCTTGTAAGTTGCTGCTTCAAAATCGCAACTCGGCCGTCATTGTCAGTGTGGTTCGCTGTTTCCTCTACCTTGCGCCCTCGGAATATCTCATCTCAGCCATCGGTCCCCTTGTGGCTCTACTTAGAAGTCCGCAGGACATGCAACTTATTGCGCTCTATAACATTGTTGCCGTTGCCTTGAGGGAGCCCAAGCCTTTCACGAAATATATTGCCCACTTTCTAATTCATGCCAATGATCCCCCGCATATCTGGCGCCTGAAGTTGGAGGTTCTGACGATCATCTTTCCCCATTGTGGGAAGCATTGGAAGAGTGTTATCATCAGCGAACTTGAGCACTTTTCTAAGGGTACTGACCCTGAACTTGTTCGAGAGAGTGTTCGAGCTCTTGGTCGCTGTGCCCAAGGAGACGCCACTACTGCAGCCCTGTGTCTACGGATTCTTCTCGGCCAGGTCGCTAGTCTGGATGGGAATCTTGTTTCCGAATCTCTCACTGTCATCCGCCACCTGATTCAGCAGGATCCGACCTCCCATAATCAGACAGTCATTCAACTCATCACGCATCTTGGAACCACCACCAATCCTGATGCCCGGGCTTCCATCATTTGGCTGGTTGGTGAGTTTGCGGGCGCGGACCCAGGACATAATATTGCGCCGGATGTTCTCCGCATCTTGATCAAAAGCTTTACCGATGAGCCGGAGGTTGTCAAGCAACAGATCGTACTCCTTGGTGCAAAGGTATATCTCCACCATCTCCTACAAAACCCATCACAAGAGTCAACGCAGGCCGGCTCTTCATCTGTCTCGGAACGCCCCGCGAACCTCGAACAAGAAATCCGCAACGAATGGACCGAAGAGCGAGCAGAAGAAGAGAAACGCGGCGATGACGCCATTGACGTACAAGAAAATGACAATGGAGAGATTGAGGCGAAAGAAGATGGAGAGGACCGTATTACTTTGCTGTGGCGCTATATTCTCCTTCTTGCTCGCTACGACACCTCATATGACCTACGCGATCGCGCCCGTCTCTACAAAGCGCTCCTCGCCAGCCCTTCTTCCACCCAATTAGCGAATCTGCTCCTTTTGGCACCCAAGCCAGTTCCCCACGCCCCAAGCCCTTCGGAAACTCGCAAGGATCTGCTTATTGGAACTGCAACACTTGTTGTTGGTTCTGACGCTGGCTACCATGGCCTAAGAGGTTACACCACCCTTCCCCCTTGGGTTGAGGCAGGGCAAGAGCCTGATCCAAGTCTTCGCATGGAAGAGGTCAAGGCAGAGGCGCCTTCGCTTCAAGCTTCTCTGACCGCCGGCGAGCGATTAGACAAAGCACTCCGTGAACATCAGACCACTGACCCTCGACGCCGGCAGACTGCAACAGGTGCAGCTGTTGGGAAGAAGAATCTGGATCAGTGGCTTGATGAGGAAGAAGAAGAAACAGAATCGGAGACGGAGACGGAGAGCGAGTCCGAAACGGAGTCCGAGGAAGAGACTGATTCGGAAGAAGAATCCGGTTCTGAGGATGAGGAGGATGAGACCGATTCTGAGGGCGAGGCCGTCCATAAAGAGGCGCAGCAGTTGCTTACACAACCCGGCTCGAAGCCTTGAGGTTGAATGAACTTGAAATCATCGTTGGTTGATAGCCGGTGTTGAGCCATGTGCATAAATAGGGCGCTACATCTAGATGATATGTTCAGCATATATGGGAAATCTCGGCCTTCATATAGTAGGGAGGAAATACTTGAAATGTTCATTATACATAATCGGTGATACTAGTAGAAGTTTTTCCACCAGAGGTTCAACCTTGGAATCTTCAAGTTGGCCCCCGAAAGTGGAAATCACTCGTACTAGTATGCCACGTACTAGTATGCCAGTTGGTAGGAAAATGGACTATTAGCAGCCCTGGAGTGCTGTATATATTTTCTACTACTACGGCAGACTTGGAGCCCACTGGCACGGCCCTCCGGGCTGGGAGCATTCAAGTTGACAGCCTGACGTCCTTAAAGTTTTGATAGATCGATACCAAAAAGCTTTCACTAGCTTGTTCCACTATCTACAAAGCTCAAATACCTTGAAAATCATAGTCTTACCCCAAGTACAAGGTTCAAGTTACCCTAATTAGACCCCGGTCATGTGCAAGGCACAGGGTTCCCGGGCGGCAGCTACTGGCAGAACGCGGGTGACCCCAGGCGCCCAGCTGGACCGAGCCTTCCACACTGATCTCTCTGAGTTGGGAGCGCAATTGTTGAGGTGCGGATCTGCTTCATATCATGATGCCCGCGACTCACCCGCCGTCCAAATTAATCCTTCGTTGAACCTCCTCCGTCTCTCCGATATCCTCTGTGCCGAGCTTTCTCTCCCTAAGCATTCCACAGACAACGAACCCCTCCGCATCCACATCCGCATTCACCGCAGCCTGTCTCTCAATAGCTCCGCCTTGTTTGTTTGGCACCATCCAATACACGATCGGGTGGAAGTATTCCGTTATTCTGCTTGAAGGGAATATTCAAAAGAGGTTGAACAATTATCGGCTGCCAGGGCTCTACACTACGTCACCATGCCGGGTCTTCCTAGTAAGTGCGAGGAGCGCGGCCGGGCTGAATAGAACTCGGCAGCATTTTGGGATAGGGTCGAAAGGAACCGCTAACAGTCGGATAGGAACTATCGATCTGGATGAGTGCATCGAGCGACTCTACCGTAAAGAACTCCTGGCCGAGTCGGTGATCGAGGCAATCTGTGCGAAAGCCAAGGAATTATTGATGAAGGAGAGCAATGTGGTTCACATCCAGGCACCCGTTACAGTTGTCGGAGACATCCACGGTCAATTCTTCGATTTACTCGAGATATTTCGCATTGGCGGTTTCTGTCCGAACACCAATTACCTCTTCCTTGGTTAGTTTTGACCCGCTCCGAATGCCATCGGGTATATATGGACTGGAGACCGGGGAGTCTCGCTGCTTGGAACGAAATTGATTGCTGACCTTTGCTGGTGATGCCAAACAGGAGATTATGTAGATCGCGGTTTATTCAGCGTGGAGACCATCACCTTGCTCATCTGTCTCAAGTTACGATACCCCCAACGAGTTCACCTAATCCGCGGCAACCACGAGTCCCGTGGCGTGACACAATCCTATGGCTTTTATACCGAATGTGCTCGCAAATACGGAAATGCAAACGTATGGCACTACTTCACCGACATGTTTGACTACCTTACGCTGAGCGTGGTTATCAATGACGAGATATTCTGCGTGCACGGTGGTCTTTCCCCCTCGATCCACTCCATTGATCAGATCAAGATCCTCGATCGGTACCGTGAGATTCCGCACGAGGGCCCCATGGCCGATTTAGTTTGGTCCGACCCGGACCCGGACCGCGACGAGTTCTCCCTTTCGCCCCGCGGAGCTGGTTATACATTTGGAGCGCAGGTGGTTCGGAAGTTCCTCGAGGTTAACAACATGTCTCATATTCTGCGAGCTCACCAGCTCTGTAACGAAGGCTACCAAGTCTTATTTGACGATCGACTCAGCACGGTCTGGAGCGCACCCAATTACTGTTACCGTTGCGGAAACCTCGCCAGTGTGCTCGAAGTTGGGGACAAAATGCAGCGTTACTTTAATATCTTCGACGCGGCACCCGAAAACGACGTGCATCGGAGCGAGCAGCAGGCCCAACAGAACAGGGATTCTCAGCCGACGATTGACTATTTCTTGTGATACCCCTGGAGGTGTAATATCTCATTTTTTTTTTTTTGTTTGATTTGATTTTTTTTGCAATTGCACCGTACAGGAGTTTGGGAGAAGGGTAGAAAGAAAACTATGAACTGCACATTACATCCCATCGAGCAGCGCTTCCTGCTTGCATATGAATTGAATTGGAGGAGTGGGAAAAAGACCAAAACAAACGGGCCATAGGCTGGCTTACAAAGATATATCCTCTGCCATACAGTCGGAGATGAAATAGAAATGGCAAACAAATAAAAATAAAAGACATGAAATATACCCCACGAGTTCGCCCCAAGTCGGGACCGTGGGGGATGGATGTGTATGTATGTGCGCGCGAGAAAGTCTGTTAAAACTGTGCAGTAATTGGCCCAGACTGGGGACCATCTCTACCAGGCTTTTGGTATCAAGGAAATTCGTTACGCTTGGAAACAAGAGGCCGCTCAATTCAAGTCAACACAGGGAGTCCAAGAGTATCCCCTTCGATTACCAGTCCTTGGTGATATCGAAAGACCATTCGAACTGCAAGAAAGTGTGGTCATCGTCATCAACGAAGCGGGAGGTGGCATTGTAGTGGCCACGAGCGATCATGCCGGAGGGGGCCTCCTCCTCCTGGACTGTTGGAATGGTCAGTTGTGTGTGTCATGGACTAGAACAGAGCTGGAGCTGGAGCCGGCGGGCAGTGGGTAGGGCCAATACGTACACTGCTTCTCGTAGATCGGCTTCACAGTAGTGCTGGGGGCATAGCTGCCCAGCATCTCCTCGTCCTTGCTCACGCGGATACCCTTGCGTTTCACGGCGTGGACGTACTTCAGACCACTGAGAACCTCGTGGTTGACCTGGAAGGCAACCTTGATGTGGAACTTGGCACCCTCCTTGATGGTGAAGGGCTTTTCCTTGAGGGTCTTGACGGATTCCTCGGTGGAAAGGTCGATCACGACGTCGGAACGACCGTCGACAACGAGAGCCAGGGACTTGATGACACACTTGGGGTCGTTGGGCTGACCGATAGGCTCTCCGGCATTGAGACCTAGAGAGGCCTTCCAGCGGTTCATGGCCTCATCATCCTTGTCTGTGCAGGAGAAGAGGATTGATTAGTTTGTGACTGTGTAGGGGCTGGATGGCGAGTTGTATGTAGACGGAGGTGCAGCAATGGGTGGGTTGAAATTGGATGATTGTAGTAGACGAGACAATGGAGATGGGAAGTATCACTCACCAAGCTCCTGGTACTCCTGGAGAGTCTTCTTCTCACCGACCTTGAAACCCTCGGTCTTGGTGGCAGCGAGATCGTCATTGTGTTGGTCGGCCATTGTTGATTGTTGATAGCGGGGCACACGTGGGGGGGGAAGTCGGAACCAGGGAATCAGGAGTGGGAACAGATGGAGATGAAGATGCGTCAACAGAGGAAGTTGGGCAGCAAAGAGGTAATGAGATGCAGGGAGGGGAAGAGAAGAGGGGAATCGAAATCAAGAGTAGGGAGGAAAAGGAGCTGGCACAGTCTCCTGACAAGAGAGCCTCTGGTGGGGTTAGAAAGGCGGTGGCGGAGGGGGGAGGCTATTCGGATCACCAGTGAGTTACCGTGCATGCAACGCGCAATGCGAGCTTATTTTATTTCCCTTCCGGTCATCTTGAAAATGTGAGTATATGGGAAGCATTTGGAATGTTTCATAAATAATAAAATAATAAATAGGGTACATTGGTTTCAAATGATCAAATTTCCAGAATCTAGGGACCCCGTTACTGTATATGAGACAAATGGTAACTTATGGAGTACGGAGAACGGAGTAAATGGAGTAAGTACCTCAGGTGTATGGATACACGTAGCCTTTTAGTCCAAGTTGTAAGGATGCCCGAGGGGGGTAGTCTGCCCTACAACTATACCTAGGCTCTCCAGCGATATAGTATATATACTCACAGTTATAGTATTTATACTTATACTACTAGTAGTAGTATTATAGTTAGATAAATACACATTGTATACTACAAACACATAGTAACTATACACAAACTCACCTTCACCTCATAAGAATGCAGGTCACGGGGCCAACGCCCTCCCAACAGCGGGATACGGATGTGACCGTAATGCTCCTGCATTGACCAATCATACCCCATAAATACACTACCAATACACAATACCAAACCGGTCCATCCCGGATGCGGAAAAGTGCCATACGGTGTAGGAAAGGGCCCCAATAATTCAATTCCATCCCGTCGCCTTTCTCCCCTGATCTTCGTGAATCTCACTTTTTGACTCTTTGCTGCTTTGTCAATCGGTCTCTTTTTCTCACTCGAGTCGTTTCGTTCCGATTTCGCCCCGAGTGTCTGCAGCTGTTCTCGGTTGAAAATTCCGACCCGTGACTTCATCTGCCGACGCGCCTGCTACGTGGTCGCCGTTGGCGCATCTCGTTTCCTTTTCGCATCCTCCTCTAAGACATCTTCCCTGTCTCAACCCGTCACTATTGCCCACCATGTCGCGATCTCTCCCCAAGAAGAACAACCCGCACATTCTGGCTGATGCCTCACCGACCTGTAAGTGTCACTTCACCCCATAGGCGCGTAGTCGCGCAACCGCGCATGCGCGCATTGGAGGACTCCCCTCCCCTCCCCTCCTCATTCATCTCCCCTCTCAACACATACATCAAACGACCATCGCTAATCCATGCCATTTTGCGCCCCTCCTTTACAGACGATGATCTTCTCTCGCGCCGTCGCCTTGGTAAGACCAACTTGTCTGTTAAGGCCGCGCAAATTGGTACTTCCAATGCGACCAAGCCCGAAAACCTTGGCCTCTTCGAATATGCCCACTTGCGGGCCCCTTTGCCCAAGGACCTGAAGGGCTCCGAAATCTTCCCTTCACACAACGCTGCCCAGCACCCGGAGACTTACTTCCTCATGGTAAGCTGCGCCTAGCCGTCTGATCCAAGAAACCCCGTCGCTAATCAACCACCTACGTTAAAATAGCGGAGGAGCAAGGATGGCTTCGTTAGCGCAACTGGCATGTTCAAGATTGCCTTCCCGTGGGCCAAGATCGATGAAGAGAAGACAGAGCGAGAGTATCTGAAGTCGCGCGAGTACACAAGCCAGGAAGAGGTTGCCGGCAATGTGTGGATCTCGCCTCTATTCGGTAAGCCATCTCCCCGTGCGACACCAAGCCAGCGAGTGCTGACAATACGTCTCTCAGCTCTTGAGCTTTCCAGGGAATACAAGATGTACGACTGGGTTCGTGCCCTACTGGATCCCACCGATATCGTGCAGAGCCCGTCTAGCGCGAAGAAGCATATCACCCCGCCTCCTAAGTTCGAGCTCCCCGAGGAGGAGCCTACTCCTTCTCAACGCCGTAGCCGCCGTTCCGTCTCTCCCAGCAAGAGACCCTCGTCTCCTCGCAAGTCTCGCCCAGGTCGCCCCATCAAGGATATCCTGAGCACCCCTTCGACTACCGCTGCCAACAATAGCCTTCAAGAGGCCCTGGATACCACCGTCTCCCTGGAGACCAATGAACAAAACGGTATCATTGAGACTGTGGAAGAGGTCGAGGTCAAGACGAGTGGATCACCCGAGAAGAAGTCTCGTGGTCGCAAATCTAAGAAGGCCATTGCCGAGGCCGAGGCTGCAGCTGCAGCTGAGGAAGAGGAGAAGGAAGAAAAGAAGGACGAGAAGAAGTCCGAGAAGAAAAAGAAGAAGGATACAAAGGGCAAGGAGACAGAGGTGGAGGTTACTGCTTCCGCAGAGGTTGCCGACCAAGCCACTACAACTCAGACTACCGTCTCGCTTGATGTGCCGATCAGCCTCCCGGAGGTTCCATCGGCCGCCGATACGCAAGAAATGATCGCCAAAGCCCAAGAGATGGTCGAGGAGGCCATCAAGAGCCAAGCGGGAGAGGGTGCCACAGGATCTTCAGTCGCTAAGGTGACAAAGAAGCGTAAGCCGGAGGAGGATGACGAGGAGACTGCCGCCGAGGCCGCCCAGCGAACAAAGAAGGCCAAGGTTCTAGAAGACAAGCTCAAGCGTGAGCGGGTCCGCAATCGCGCACTGTTTGGTGTCTCCGCAGCTTTTGCTCTTGCGTGAGTTTGACACTTCCCTATTTTGGTTTTTATCCAAGATCTCATACTAACCATGTCTTTAGTGCTTCCATTCCTTACTTCTTCTAGATCCTTCGACCAAATCGAAGCTGGAGTCGGTGAAGCCGACACTTCATTTCCTACTTGGATTGATTTGCTTATCTTTTGCTCCAAAGAGATATACCTTGACATTACCCTTGATACCGCCTCGCTATTGAATCTTCCGAATTGTTGCTTCTTCACGTTCAACAGCAGAGTTCCATTCATTCGCGATCCCTGATCTCTGCTCCCCCTTCCAACATTCCCCTTGTCGCTATGATAAATATATTCCTCCTCACCTATTCTTCACTGTGCTGTGTACTTGCCTCAACCAACACCATTTCTAATACCTGTTTTTACACCCTTGCGCGAGACTTGATCGTCCACGCAGCCCCCCCGACTACTAAAGAGACCATGTTGAATCTATTCACACCCAACCCCCTCCCAATCTTCTTTCCCCTTTCTCTCTCTGATACCAAATATTCAAACACCTTCTTTGTTCAAGTTTTGTCTGACTTTCTTGGACACCATGGAGTCAAAGAATGGGTTAGCCTACTGATAGCTTCCAAAGTTTTTTTTTCACCTAAAAAGACCAAAGCTTCAAGTTTTCCAATACTAGAAAGTAGAACACTATTTAAATTGGTAGAGCGTGAAAGGATGTCTAACAAATATCTCAATGTCATGAAAGAGATCTGTGTAGTACAGTATCCTATAGTTAGTTATACTGTCCTAGGTTGGCTGCCGCAATGCAAACAGTCCAAACAGGCGGAGAAGCTCCAAATGCCGCGGATCTTCTCCATGTTTCGCAACATCACTCAACACCTTCGATTTCCCCCATTCCGCCATTTTTCACCTCATCTGAACCTTCAAAACCGGTCGCAAAATGTCTCTCCCGGGCCTGGAGCTCACCCAGCCCTCAGAGGAGAGGCACCATGCTGCCGCTCCTCCCTCACAGATCAACCTGCCTCCAGGTTCCGAATGGCGATTTGAAGTCGCATTTGGACACAGCATCAAGGTGAAAGTACGCGCATTTCGCTTCCAATCTTCCTATCGTGGACCCTGAATCTTGCGAGGCTGTGCGCTTCCTGCGGTCCCATGGTCTTGTGATTTAATGCACCGAAGCTCGGAAGACTAACATGAGATATCGTAGCTTCTCACCGGCACGGCCGAGCTCTTCGGCACCGAACTCGCCGAATCGCAGACATACACATTTTGCGGAACGAAAAGCGCGATCTACACCTGGTATGGCTGTGAATTAGAAGTAAGCGCCGGCGAAACAAACACAGCGACCCTAGATGGGGTGACGCCGACAGCGGGCCACGGTGCCGGAGGATGCCAGAGTGAATACATCGCAGAGGACACGCCAATGGTAGAATATGCGAATGCGCATTTTGCGCTCGAGACAATGCGAGATGAGACTCAGGATTCGGGCAAGGACGGCCCTCGAGTTCTATTACTGGGCCCCGAAAATGCCGGCAAGACTACTGTAGCAAAGATTCTGACTGCCTACGCTACGAAGATCGGCCGACAGCCGATCGCAGTGAATCTGGACCCCAGCGAGGGAATGCTCAGTGTCCCCGGAACTCTCACAGCGGCTGCATTTCGAACAATGCTAGATGTCGAAGAGGGCTGGGGTAGCTCCCCAATGTCCGGACCTAGCTCCGTGCCAGTGAAGCTCCCTCTTGTCTACAGTTACCCCCACCCCAGCCCCCTCGATGCCGATGGATCTGTGTACAGACCGATTGTGTCACGGCTGGCTTTGTCTGTTACGGGACGCATGGCCGAGGATGAAGATTCCCGTGAGACGGGGATCATTGTCGACACACCAGGGATCCTGAGCTCTGGAAAACCAGGCACATTGGAAATCATCAACCACATCGTCACGGAATTTGCCATCACTACAATCATAGTTCTGGGATCTGAAAGACTCTACAGCAACATGGTGAAACAGTATGACGACAAGCCGAGCTCAAGCCCCTCAGCAGATGCCTTTGACGAACGCATTTCAGTCGTGAAGCTATCCAAATCAGGCGGGTGCGTTGACCGCGACGCCGCATTCCTCAAAACCACCCGCGAATATCAAATCAAGTCTTATTTCTTCGGCACATCCGTCATTTCCCCTTCTCCCACGACCGTCACACTATCGCCTCATACGTCGCAACTAGATTTCGCCGCACTTTCTGTCTACAATTACACAGTGACCTCTGCAGATGACGAAGACGAAGATGAATACGATCCTTCCCAACTCAGCATGGGCGACTCATTCGGAGCTGGCGATAATAACCACCCAGCAGAATCAGACCACGCAGCGCCTCTCCCTGGTATCGTCGGTCTCTCAGTCGATCCTGCCTCCACCCCGATCCACGCCGGCTCCAGCAATATACCACTTAAAAAGGTGCTCCCACCGGCTCCTCAAGCACTAGCCAATACCCTCTTGGCAATCACCCACGCGCCCACCACAGCCACACCTGCGCAAGTTCGCGATGCGAGCATCATCGGCTTCCTTTACGTTGCCAGTGTTGAGCCCGACAAGGGCAAGATCCACGTTCTCGCTCCCGTTGGCGGACGGGTACCGCAGCGAGCCATGATATGGGCGAAGCGCTGGCCTGATGAAGTTATCGGGCTGGTAAACTGATACCACCCGCCTCAGTATATTTACTCGCATTTACATTCACATTTTGCATACCCTGTCCTTGATCTCTATGACAAGGCTTAAGGACCGGAGTTCGGGAATTGTCTTTTCGTTGCTTATCTTTCCCCATCTTTATAGGTGACTGGCTGTTAATTCACAAGATAGTCTGGCCCAATGTTTATGACGAGCTATTCAAATAAAACCCTTTTTCGACTGTACTCTGACAATGTCATTTTTCACACTTTCCCACCTTCTCCCTCCTCGCAACGCGAGATTAAAGCCAAAAAAGTACGAAAACAAAAATAGAAAAGAAAAGCAATCCGAGAAACCGATAGAGATGCTGCACAAGGCGGCTTTGAACCTGTACCAAAGTGTCAGAAGTTTATGCAGATTGCAGCATCTACATCGAAGCCTTCAGAGTCATTTACGCCTACGTCTAACCAATCCATGGTATTTGCACTCTCAGTGATGGGTGATTATGCGATGGATATCAATGAGGAAGAACAGGAATGGTATACAGGAAGTTAGGTGGACAGTTCACGCTCGCAAGCGGAGTTCGGCCTATGGTTCTTTCACTATTATTCTGCATTTCACAAGGGCGTGAATGTCTTTTTATATGTGACGGCACTTGTTCAACAGTTACAGGGACGGCGCCGAATCACCTGGAATGGTCACCTCTTGTAGACTCAAGTAGCTAGCCAGATCATAATACGACGATCACGTTCGTCCTCCCTACCATATTTTGCCTATGTTCATAGCACTGTTGTTGTTTATGGAGTGGATTGATAGAGCTTCGAGCAACTACTTACCACATGTCACGATGGTTATCAAGTATTGTACCCAGCGGGCTGATCTTTCCACCTAACTAACATTGAAATTTTGTTTTCCTTTCTCCTTGTACGGAGAGGGGAGGGGGGGGGCATCGAGGCTGTGGTGTCTCAGGCAGCTCCAGTTCGCCTTAGGCTGCCATACCTACATTCACCTCCTGCCTTTCTCATATCAATCTACACCTTTCATCATCTCCATCTCATTTCGTCATCAAAACCAGCCACGAAAAGGCAAGACTTAGGCTTTTATCGCAACGGCCATAATCTATCTTCAGGGAACATGGATCAACCAAGTGTCGTTAGAGCCATATCACCAGAGCCTATTATTTTCAGCAACCAACCCTCGAAAATGGACAACCGAATTATCAGGAACGATGACCGTCACAGAACCACAGCACTACCAGCGTCTTCGAAGCCACAGCTGTCATACCATGCAGGGTCTACGAACGTGTCTGGACCGGGGCGTTTCCTCTGCCTTGATGCCCGAAAGAAGTGGATAACGTTTGGCTCGCCTCTTCCATTGTATACTTCACCTCTGATGACCCTAATAATCTTCACAACTTTACAAAAGAGAACCTCTAACAATCCAGAAGTCCCGTTATACACCAGCCTGAGAACAACCATATTGAACAAGATCTGGTACAAAACCAACCTTGGGCGTACAACCGATTACAACACGATTGTATCGAACTCGCAGGCAATTCGCTACGTTGAATAGGAGGGTTTCGACGCAAATATTGAAACGCTCGAAGGGAGCGGGCACTTGGAGGTGAAGACACTACGTATGCAGAATACTGTCAACTGGCGACTATGAGAGGTCGTGCGGAGGAGCTACTACCCTATCGAGGCGCAATTGCGGGAGGAACCAGGGCGTAACTGAGGTTATGCCTGTAGTTGAGCCGATTACATTCATTGCGGGGGTTTCGTTACCGTTTTGTGGGTTCTATTGCCGCTTTTTCATGTAGATTCGGTCGGCCGTCCCGGTCATGGCACCGGAAAAATCAACCAACGTTCGCGCCAAATTTTTCTCAATGATGAGGAGTCGATCAGCACGACGTGAAGCATGATATCGAGCAGTTAAGAATTCACAAATGTGCAGTTCCCAGGTCGATTTCCATTCGCTGATGCCGAATAAGATTCCACGAGTTCTTGCACTTCACGAGTTGCATATCTGGCGTTTGAATCAGACAAAGCCTCCGGCTTGCGTCCATATTACTTTGGATGAGAGAAGCCGTGCTTGACTTTGATGGACTCTTAAAGACAGTTTGGGAGTGTTTCGATACATATAGCGTTCATTCGGTGACAATTCAATCAGAGGTACAGACATCGGGAAAGAGTATCGCGAGGGAAACAAGGCACGCTCAAGGGGTTGGAAAGAGACAACCGAGCTCCGAGGAGCTACGGCAGTGCAAGGTTAGCCATGGGAACCTACGCGTGGGCCTTACCTGTTGCCAGTGAAATTAAATTCGGGAATCGACATAATATTCATACTCGCTGCGAAAAATGGAGAAGTTGGAGCAAGATCTCAATAAGATTCATCGCTATTATTCGTGTTCAATAAATCATAGTATTTTACAGAAACGCAAAGTAGCAACCATAGAATGCTGCTATTTCAAGCCATCTGCGCCAGTTTAAAGCTTAAAGACCTTGACAAATTTCTGGCGACCATAAAAGCCATGTCGGACTTCCTTCCAAGATATTGAAGAGCACAGATACAAAACTCACAATTTTGTCTGAACGAATCCGCCAGCACACTATGCTCACCCGGCAAATTTAGACTCTCGATGGAGATATGGGCCGCTTTGGCAAATGAGTGAATCAAAACCACGGTCCAAGGCTCAACCAGGAACGCCACCTCATTTAACGAATCGTGAAAATTGGCGAACATAGATGGATTCTGACCTTGAAGCGAGGCACGGGCAAGTCCGCCAACGGCAAATGCATGTTCTGTTCTTAATGTGGATACAAAATTCGTAGCCTTGCGGGCTTCGCGCTCACTCTCCGAGCCAAGTCTTCCCTTATCAATGCCCTCGATCGTATCCGCCAATAGCATAATCGAAAGATGCCAGTGGCCGTCGAGGATGACATACCATGACTGTATGCGAGATGGTAGAAGCTCATGATTCTCGACACAGTCGAGCATGAACCTTTGATATGAGTGATTCCAATGCTGGTAAACTAGAAGAGTCTTTCGAATAATTTCCTCCAGTTTCTCACAGCTGGCCCCTCTATAAACAAGAGTCTGAAGTTGTGTGACTCGACGATAAAGTAGAACTTTGACTGGAGTTGCTTCTGAAAGAACTGATGCAGCCTCTTCGTAGGAGCATGGCCATCTTACATGAATTTGACCAAGATCATCACGCTCGGCAGAAGGGTGAAGGAAAAAGTCATCCCACACATCCTTTTTTATGCGAGTTCTATTTTGCGAAATACTGCTCAGCTCAAGCTCGTTCTCGACTTCAGGCACCGCAGGCGAGCCTGAAGAAATTTGACTATCCTCATCCGATACGACAAGAGGACGCTGGTACATCGCTGCACTCAGCGTGTCGAACATAATGCCAAGCCAGAATAGAAGACCAAGGGTACTCTTATGCTCTTGGCTAGCTAGTATAGGATCAAGCTGTGTTGGCCCTGAAGCATTTAAAGATTCTGGATCATCGGCCAAAGTTGACCCGATTGACCCCCTCCTGGGCTCCGTTATTTTAGGTGGAGTTTCTCGACTGAGCCGTACGAACTTGTGGCGAAATGTATAAAGCTGACGATTAGCAGCTTCTAGGAATGTTGGTGCACCGTCATTCTCTAGGAGCTGGCTCAAGCCTATATCCTGTGAATGGTCCAGCGGGCTTTGCGTCAAAGAAAATATAATGTTGGCAAATATGACGCGGAACGAAGGAATTCTCGACGAATGCTCAAGGGCATGTCTTGCTTCGTTCCAAACATACTCTCGAATCGATCGCTCATCGCGCGAGATAGGCTCCGGTACAGAAAGCCCTGTTCCCTTCGCCGCATGCTGAGTCCACTGAGAGGCAAATGCAATAATGGCAAGATGCAGAACACGAGCTGCGGTCCTATCTTCTTCTGCACTCAAAGATCGGCCCCTGATTGATGAAGATACACGATCTAGCTGACACACTCGAATGCACATCCTGTTCGACCAATTGGGGCCCCATTCTTTCCTTTCTCCTGTAGGGAGAATAGTGCTGATAGAATCGCTATAGGGGCAGTTGTGCTCTGTCAACCAGCATGATAGCGCATTTTCCATGCTATCATGATATATGCGAATCAGATTGCGTGTCATTGTCGAGCGAGCGAATTGGTTTGCCGCCTTTTCAGAAGAGATGCAAAAGCTAGGCGGGATTCCTTGATTCGATCGTCGGTTGACATCGGGAACTGACGAATATCTTAGGCCAATCTGTTTGCACAATGGAGCAGTCGACGAAAGAGAAAGGGGACTGCTTTCATCTTGGAACTCTCTCTCATAGTCAAGTTGATCGACAAGCGAACTTGCCAGAGGGTCATAGAAGTCCGCCTGAGGTTCAACACCCGTGAATCCCTTTTGGGGCCCTCGACTCGTAATATTGGTTTGCCAGTTGACTGGGATGTCCAATCCCCAGGGGAATAAATCAGATTGATCAGGGCTTGAACTTGAGCCTTCTGATCCGTCAAAAGCCGCCCCTTGGGCAGGCGATGGGAAGGCAAAAGTGAAATTTGAGATGTCGCCAGAGGTAATTGGGTCATCGAGATCAACAGGGTCACCAGGGTGCCATTGAAAATCGTGAGGCAGCTCGTATGAATTCTCATCGCCGGGAATATCATCACCCTGAAGCTTATTCATAGTGGGAGTCTTTGCTTTACGGCGAGCTCCGAGAGAGTCCACACGCTTCGAGGAGACCCAGTCAAACGTGCATTCCTTCTTCCATCGCTGACAGTTGGAACATATACTGAACCCGCTGTCTTTTCGATTTTTCTGCATTCAAGTGTTAGGATATATTAAAACCATATAGAGCAATCTCACAAACCGGAGCATCACAGCGCCTTTTGCCTTTGCGACAGGGGTCACAGCTATGCAGTTGACGGCGGCGGGTGTCCTCCATGACGGATGGAAGATATGAGGGCGTAGTTTCAGTCGCCTAGATAAGGGCTGCTTCAGCGACGGTATTTTATATCTGTATATGCATGTAGACAGATGCAGAACTATACGTCCCCTGGCCGTCCGACATCAAGATCTGTGGGGAAGCATCAGCATCGTCGACTTTGCGGGGTTGCTGCGGGGCGGGCGTCTGGGGCGCCTCCTTCGGGCCAAAGGAACCCGTTCGAACGTTCTCATTCGTCCATTACGAAAAAGGTAACAGACTGAATGATGATCTTGGCTTGATCGGTCTTTCTGACTTGATTCTTGAAAGACTAGTTTTGCAGGGAAAAACCCGTTCGTGCCATTCCTGTATAAACCCGAGAGATGGACAGATCGACACCCTAGGGAGGGTTTGTACAAGCGGGACTGACTAGGGAAGACCCGGGAAAACTGCTCTATAGAAGCATGAACTGCCTACTTAGGTCGGTAGCATTGGGATAGACATTTACGGCAGCTTCCGATTATTTATTATTTTTTTTTCTCCAAAAAAAAACTGAACGAGACGAGTTGAATATAAAGCCACGCTCATCAAAGACTGTCTCTAATGAGCGAAAAAATGAAACAAACAAGAAATTGTAAACACGCTATGACTATGGATATAGTCCCATATCTACCTTCAACGAGGGATTCTGATGTATAGTAAGAAAAATTCGGAACAGGATGTTGCGGCTAAGTCACCAGTCCAAGGAATTGCTCAAAGAACCAGTTAACTTCATTTCAAAATGCATTTAGCACAAGTTACTACTGATAACAGTCTTCCCAAAAATTTTCATTCCGACCAAATAACTTTCAGAAGCATGATTCGATGATGTTACTGGCAACGGCACAGCTCAAGAACTGCCATAATCACCAATAACAGCAGAATCTTCCACGTCGTAGCGATCATTGCCCCTTGAAAGCTGTTAGAATAGACCAAAAACTGACAGAGCGCGAGTTTGTAGGATGAATACTGACTTGTTATTACGAGATTCCCAGAGAATTCCCAGGTCGCCAACAGGCAAGTGGAACGGAAAGCCCAATGCCTCAAAAAGCTGAACAATAAGCAGATAAAATCCAAGAAGACTGGCTACAAAAAGCGAAGCTCCCGCACCCTGCGAATATTTAAATTTTTGTTAAGCAGATGAGCCATATGCAAAAAAAGGCCAGAGCGAACATTCTACTTACCTTAACACAACGGTCGCCTACGGCAGCGTCGCCTTCAGCTAGTCTCCAATAAGCAGAAGATAGGAGAAGGAAGACCAAAAGAAGTGACAGGAAGATCAGAGTATAAACGATGTTCGTTCGTGTCGCGCAGATCATGAAGATCAACATGAGTACTGCCATGGTGATGAATAAAAAAGCTGATATAATCCGTGAGAAACTGTGACTTGGCCTTGAATTGATGATCCACACTAACCGTATGTAGTCATAAACCCAGAACTCGAGAGTCCAGCAATCGTGTCAGAAGCCGATGGTGAATAAGGTGCTTTGAGTATATGAGAAAATTGCGCATATGAGAACTGAAAATTGCTGAAAGGCTAACCTGCGGCATTGAAGGATGGAATCATGGAAGCTGCAAATGCAAACCAGAATCCTCCTATTGAATGATATCAGCGAATTGAGGGATCATGTGGAGGTAATTGGCTTCTCACCGATGGTACCAAATACGACACATGGGAATGTATTTCCTAATATGAACTCAAGAATGCTCGTGATGAGCAGCAAAAGTCCACCCAAGAACACGATAGGTCCGCTTTTTGCGTCAATCGGATTTAATCCCACAAGCATCAAGACTTGAACTCTTACATAAATGCAATTCCATTTCCGCTAGCTCCCCTCCAAGCCATCAGGCAGCACGAAAGCGGAGTTGTGGTAATGACAAAACCTCCCAATGCTCTGATGTTTGTCTTCATGTTAAAAAATGTATCAGGGTGGCAAAAGGATATAATAAAGAACTCACAGTGGAGTTGGATTTCCGACCTGCTTGGCAAATTTGGGCTGTTTGCGAGTCATTGGTGTCAGGTAAAGCCTCTCAAATTGCTCAGCTGACAAAGTCACCGACGTAGGGATTGTCGAGAGAGCATGAGTTGTATTTTCACCAATCTGTGAGGATACTTTTGTATCTCCATTTTGGCTGCGGTCATTGTTCATAATGGATATTCGGGCTACTCCTGGCGTGAAAATATAAAAGGTAAAGGCGAATTGAGAAGAGAGAACGGAATAATACTAGTAGAGTCCACTGATTGATAGAGCTTCAAAAAAATGGAGGGGAGGATAAACCTTTTAATAAATATTTTATTAGAGACTTTCTCGTCTGGAAATACATTGGAGCGGTAAAAAGGAAGCCAAGATTGGGCTAGCTTCAGTCCAAGCTTCTGTGGGTACGGAGAAACGGAGAGATATGGAGAGGTGCCTACATTCTAGTCACAAATTCAAATAAAAAAAAGATCCTAGCTTAATTGCGGGGGAAGCTTAGCGATTGCGGACTAGGTCATGAACGGCCATGAGTTAGTTGAGTTTTTTTAACTAGTGGAACATGATCCGCAAGCATACTTCTATACCCTTACAGCTGTCGAAACTCTAGACAGCCCTGGAGACGATATTTCCCCCCTGAATTCTTTTCCTTTTCACTTTAGAGCTGGAGAAAGAAAAGACCGAGTTATTGGAGCTATGGAATTTGTATTTGGATAGGATTCGGATTCGATGGATAGATTGCTCTCAAGGCCGAACTATTTCGACATCCATCATGAAGACATACGATTTAAAGGTACAATAAACTTTTCTCAACGTATGGTGCCTCGTATAATTTCAAGTTCAGATCAGCTTAATCCCTTGAAACCATGAATTGACTGCCAAGAGTCCGGGGCTCGTAAAGTTCAGGCTATGCGGATGTACTGGTCCATGCGGAGCCGCACCGCCGTACGGCCCCACAGTTGCCGGGGTGCTGATATAACTCAAATCAAAGCAAATAATGCAGTTTTAGAGCATAAATGGTGAGTTCTAGGTCTGAAAACGGAAACTAACAGGAAATCCCTGCCAATAGAGTTTCTGGTAACGACTGGGAGCCACCAGAATATACTATGTACTAATTGGACTGCGCATACATTACACATTTACTTTTTCTACCGTGGATATTACTCTCGCTTAGCACTTTAGGCATTTTTTTAACCTCAATACAGCTGAAACCAGTAATCCCGAGTCGTGATGCATGGGACCCAAACAAACCTCGGAATAATTTATCCGCATTTCCCAACCACATTAGATAGCTCCTCTTACAATGCTAGGTGGGAAGTTGAATCATATCCACTAGTACTTATATCATGTGTGATATCCGACTCGAAGAAATTAGAGTCACTCACTAGCTGGAGCATCTCCCAAGTGTCCTTCAAACGACAGCCGCGACCTGTGTCTTAAGACGAACGAATGCAACGGTTGACGACAGGTTCTCTTCATTTTCTTTTATCGTGGAAGGGCTTTTAGCGGTGAATACGAATAGCCCGTATGCAATTTTCTTCTCTGTCCTGTGCAATCCAAAATCGAATATCGAAACATAATTCTCCCAGCCAGCCTGCTATTGGGTTAGCACAAGCATGAGTCCCGAAGAGCCTATACACCGCCGGAAAAAGGCGAGGAGATCGTGTTTAAAATGTCAAAAGTCGCATAAAACATGCGGTAAGCTCGACAGTGATGTTGCTTACTTGAAGTATTCTAATTTAAAACGAAACCAGGAAACGAAAGGCCATGCAAGCCGTGCTTAAGGCGTGGAATACCTCTCAGCTGTGTTGATGGTAGTCGCAAACTTCCGAAGTACATGTGCGATTCATATGCCAATGATATTACTGGCCAACTGTATCCGACAACTCCATATCCCCAGGCGATTCAACTCCAGCAATACTTGGATATAGAAAATTTAAGTCGGTATGTGTTAAGCGGAAAAGAAATATTTCCTATTTTATACTTAAGTTGATTGGGCATAAATATAGCCATTCGGAGCCTAGTTGGAAAGAAAGCCTCCACGAAAATAGAAGACAATCGCTCGGAAACGACCCCGTGAAGTTTGTGGATCCTCAAGCGCTTCACAACAGTTTTCCGTATACAGACTTGCGTAGCTCCTGGAAGCTAGGAGCTCCTCTGGAAGCAGGATATGATGAAGCAGATCTTTCTAAAAAGCTACATAAATCCCCGCTATCTATCAGTGACACAACGAGGAGGCCTGTGGAAAACGATATCCCAGACTCTTCATCCAGGCAGATGTTTCGTGATGATTTGGGCCCATCATCTATGATGGCAGTGACTTCTACTTCAAATATTGACAGAAGTGATTATGAAGATAGCTCCGGTGGCATGAACCACAGTACTACGAATTTCGGGTTCGCTATTCAAAGTGGCTGGTCGAGTACATTTTTCATCTAGAGGGAACCGGAAAGATGAATGGCCGAGATAAACAACAAAAAAATCCTAGGATATATCAAAGTAAAATCTAAATTCTAATGCATTCCTTCTCTCCCTCAAAAAACCAACTTCCTAAAACAAGAGACCCCAAATGTAGCGTAGGGTAAGACTTTACGCAAGTCGAAAATCAATGACATCACCTTGGATATCTTGGCTATTGCCCAACAAGAAACGGAAATCAAACCTGTAATTAGCGGCTGTGATTCTCAAAGGGTCAGATTGCCCCAAATCAAAAGTTGTGGAGTTGTGGAGATCGAACTCGCATCTTTCGTTGGTGATTCATGCGGAGCCGCACGGGGCCCGTGCGCCCAGGCCCCGCAAAACGTTCCCCGCATGAAAACATCCGGCGAAGCTCCGAAAGTAATCATTTGCGAAGTCCTCTTGTGAACTTGAAACCGTGCCAAGTATACATTCTCGCATGATGGGATCCGCTTACCCGGCATATTTCGCCGAAATTACAGGCTATGCGCGAAAGGAGGCCCTGGACCGACTATCATTTTCTCCGATCACCGATGCTCTTTTCGGCGCTGT